TTTGAATGAACATCCAGAACTAATCTGCTTCCATGATTCGCTGGGTACAGTTGGAAAGAAAGCTAATCCAGAGGGAAGCGTTTTACTCTTCCCCCTGTGTGCACTGGAGATCACATTGTCCTGAATGACCCCACTTCCCTCTTACACTGCTGTGTTACACACTGTGCAAAAAACGTGTCTGTGGTGCTGGGTTACCTTCAGAGCGTTCCTAATCTCAGTGCCATGAAGGTCCTGGCAAAATGTCTTGCTCCCTTTGCCCTTTTCTTGCTGCTGGTTAATGAAATTCCAAGAAAAGAGTAAAATTACATTTGGGTTCACAGAATTCATCTCTAAAAAGCGTTTTTACTTTTGTGGTGATGCATTGCTTTTCTGGTTACTGGGGTTAAAATCCTGTTGGTATTTTTGCTGATGTCTGTTTTTCAGCACTTGTGAAGTGTCAGGGGTGGATGTAATGGTTTTCTGCTGAAGGGGGATGTGTCATAGCAGGAGGGGCTGGGGGACTTGGGTTCAGTTGCTCTTCTGGCAGTGGACTTGGTCCCATGGAGTCATGGAAGGAACAGGAATTTGGGCTAAGTCCTCACTCCTGAGGTTCCTCGTGGCAAAGCACCTCTAAAGATCTCTAGACAAGGTACACTAAAGAGAGCATGTGGTGTTGGGAGGGCAACTGAGACCCAGAAATCTGATCCCTTGCTTTCTCTGCACTGCTCTGTAAAACAAAGCCCTTCCCTGCTTCACTCATGGGCGCTGATGAAAGATGCCTTGAAGATTTTGGTTGCCTACAGAGTCTAATAATAGAGGAAATACCCAGATTTGGAAATACGCTCTGAGGCCTTAGTATTGACCTGCTGGAAGTCTACTTGATAGATCCTGGAGCCCAGGTTGAGAGTTTTGCTCTTCCTTTTAGACAGTCCCTGCTCCAGCTCAGGTGTTAATAGAGATGCTCATGCCCGTGGCTTGGCCCGAGTCCAGAGACATGAGACAGGACCTGGTGGAAGGGTTAGTTCAGGTACAGCATTTCCTTCCCTTTGTTTCAGAATTCTCTAAAATCCTGGTTTGAGGCATCAATCTTGAGCCAGGCCGAGCAAGCCTACATTTTCTTCTCTACGTTTCCCTTTCCCTCCATTTGATTTTTTTACCAGCTTTGCTTATATTCCTGGTGTGCTTTCCAGGAGCTGCCATTAATCTTGTTCCCAGGAGTCCCTATGTCACTCCTGGCTGTGATACATGCCATTGCCAGAGGTTTTCAGTTTATTTAAAACTCTGCTGCAGCAGGTTTTCCCTCCTGCATCCCTTCCTGAACTAAAAGCACTAGGCTATTCATTATTTTCAATAAATAAGCAGTCATTTTGTTAATCCATCTTAAAAAGTATGATCACCCACAGGTGGAGTGCTTTTTTATGACTGTTATTTGATTCCTTCTCATAGATCATTTCTGCAGAGCTGCATCTCTAGGCCACGTCTCGTTCCTGCCGCGGGGGCTGCAGGAGCTCGGTCGGCTCCTTGGGTGCTCCCCAGAGCTTTGGGGTGCTCGGCCAGGGACAGGGCTCAGCGTGATCTACTACAAGGTGGACAGGTTTTCCTGCTTATCCATCCTTCTCCTTATCCATCAGGTCGTTCTGTCAGCAGCCAGATCCCTGAGCCGGGTTTCTTAAGAACACACCACAGCAGCAGTTGCACGAGACAGGGAGGAAACAATAACCTGGAGGTTCAGCTTAAATACTTGCTTAGACCAGCTTATGGCAGGTACTGCTGTCCTGGTGTTGGACTCAAGTTAGGAGGGCTTGATTCTGTGCCATTGATCTTCATGTCATGAATACAAACTCAACTTTTACACTGCAGTAAATTAGTAGTATTTCTGCTTCTGCTTTTAGAACTATGTCAGGTATAAGTGAGATAAAGATTGAGGTAATTCTAAATGGGAAAGCAGAGGATGAATTTTTAGAAATGCTTGTTCCTAGCAGAAGTTTGCACCTGGTGAATTATGCTCTTAATTTCAAAGAAGAGCAAAATAAAATCACTGACATGAAAACCCTGCCTGTACCTTAAAAAAGCATATATACGGATGTGCATGCACACACTATTGTTTAAAAAATAATAAACCTGTAAAAAGCAGTTATTTATGCTGCAGGTAACAGCCCTCTGGCAGTGCCTGGATTTTGTTTGCCTCATACTATAAAAAGCCCCAGCTGTGATCTCTTCTGTTCCATGTGAGCTGCCAGGGGGGCCTCCTCCGGCCTGCTGGGGAAAGGTTTGGCCATGGGCAGCAGGAGGAGAGACACCAGAGTCCAGAGGAGGATGTGAGCCATGTTTAAAGCTACTGGTTGGGGAGCTTTGAGAGATGAACAGGGAGGTTGAAGATGGTGTTTGAATAGAACAAGAATAAGGCAGGGATGGGGAGATGGGAGCACAAGGACGGGAAGGCAAATTGGATCCCAACTGGCATCATGGACCAGTGTAGGGGGGCTGTGTTCTGGGGTAAGACAGAGCTCTGGAGATGGTCTCGGGATCTGGGAGCTGACTCACACTGGCAGTGTTGTTGTTTGCATCCTGAAGAGGTAAGAGGGGAAGGCATTTATGTGTTTGTTTTAAATTGGTTTGCCTTTTTTGAGTTCGGGAGCTCTGAGCCAGTTCCGTGGAGATGGAATTACTGAGTGCATGTGGGCTGAGCATATGTGAGAGGGGAATTGAATTGCTTGGGGAGGAGTTTGTGCGCTCTAGGTACAGCAAAGAGATGGGAAAAGACAGACGTTTTGGGACTCTTTCCACTAATTTTATGTGAAAGAGTAAAATGCATCGAATTATGCTGGGAGGGGGGATGTGGTACGTGAGGCACTGAGGTGATGCCTCCTCACATGATAAAGAGCAGCCTATAAAAACAAGGGCAGAAATGGTATGCTTTTGGCTGGGGGAAGGTAGTTACTGGTTCTCTAAGTTCATTTTGGAGAGGCGACTAAAGGAGGTAAGACCGATAGTGGAGACAAAGCTAAGATGGGACAGCCTTGCCAACAAACCATTGTCACTGCAACATTCCCATTGTTTTCTTAAACAACAAACCCAGAAGGTCAGATTGCAGAATGAGTTTCCCTTCTCTTCCCTAACCCTTGCACCATTCCTGCCTTTGCTCAGAGCAGGTCTGTTTGCAGAGGGGAAGCTTCTCCTTCCCTGGCCATGCATGGAGCTGGGTCAGCTCTCTGCAGGTCCCTGCTCCGAGGCAGGGGGGGCAGGGGGTGTGTGACAGGAATGTTGCACCTACACTGTTGTCACTGGCAGGCACTGCCTGTCCTCACCTGCAGTTGTTTTGTTTTCCCATCGAATCCATGACAGTGAGTGCTTGCCATCATCTGTTCAGGGACCCTCAGAGAGAGAGGCAGCCACAGGCATTAAATGTTACACACCAACCACAGCAAACGGGACAACAGCACAGCTGGTGTGAACACGGGCAAGTGGCTGCTCCCAAAAACCCCTCCTGCCCTGGTGGTGCATTTGCTGCCTTACCAGTGCCCTTATGGGGATGTGTTTCCCTCATGGACTCTTGCCAGCAATCCCAAATAGAGACCATTGCCTTTATAGCTGAAGGGAGATGCTTCTGCCAGAAACCCCCAACCAACCTGACAAGGTGAAGAACATGTGTTGGCTTGAGCAGGGAGGATCTGCTGGGGAGCATCATGGTTTTTGCATTTATTTTGCCGTTCTCCTGCATTTGTCAGAGCTCTTCCTACAGCTCTGATCTTTTTGTCTGCGTTTAAAGATCTTTCTATTCTCTATTTAACAACAGGAGGTTTTAGGTTTAAATGGCACAATGGTGTATGTAATTTATATATACAAAAAAGATAAATTGCTGCTTCTCGAGACACAAAATGCAAGCATTGCTTTGTTGGCGGAATTAACTTTTGTGCTATGTCAGGCGTGGAAGGTATTGTTAGAGATATGATTTTAGTATATAGCAGTACTAAATATTTTATCTTGTTGGCAAGCGGTGTTGTTGCAGAAGGTTTAAACTTCAAAGTGAGCTTTGCTAAAATGCCTTTAAAATAAAAGAAAAAAAAAAGGTGGAGAGGGAGATGTAAGAGTGACTCGATTCGTGCTGGAATGATTTCACAGGAGGATTGTTATCCACTGAGACACAAGGCTTCTATTTGACCTCCTGCTGACTTCCCTAAACAGTGTTTGTAGGATGTTTAAACACTTAAAAAAAAAAAAAAAAAAGGAAAGAAAAAGGAAAGCTGCTCTGCCGGAGTGTCTCCGTGCAGAAGAGCCACATCTCCTTTTTTCAAAGTGACACATAGAGAAGGTATTTAGCACTTACAAAGAGCTTGCTGGCAGGCTCTCAGTTCTAGGGACGTAGAAGCGATCCAGGCTCTCTATTTTAATGTAATTTTTGGTGCCGGGTGTCCCTCTCTGCTCAGAGGTTGCACAGAAAACCCCTCAGCAGTGCCGGGCAGGACGAGCTCGGGAGGGGCTGCGGTGCCTTCATCCCCTGCGGCTTTGGTGGTCCCTGCCCGGGCATCGCCCCGGCAGCTGCGGGGAGAGCACGGGCTGCAGCAGCCTGTGCGTGACTCGGGAGGTATTTTGGGATCCTTCTGGGAGAAAAGTGCAGTATCATCGTTAAAGAGAGTGCTGCGGGATAAACTGTGACTGAGATCTGAGCGCGGAGAGCTCCCCGGCAAAGGGACGTGCTGCTCCTTGTCTCGCTGCAGGGAGGGTGGGGTGAACCGGGATGACAAATTCACGGGCTCTCAGCCTTGTTCAAGGGGCCAATCCGTGCTGCCCTCCCGCAGGTACACGGGCTGTCAGAGGGCTTCATTTCACACACGAGTTTCCAAATTTTGCTCAGTAGCAGTGAGCAAGTTCATTGTAAGGCAGTTATTCATCTGCCTGAAGCTGTTCCCATTTGTTTCACCCCCTCCTTGTCTTTTCCTTGCACTCCCTACACTCCATCTCCCTCCTGGGCTGCCTTGCTAAGGTGGTGCTTTTAATGAGCGCCTGGAGATCTGACCATAGAGGCATCCAGGCCTTGGTGCCTTCGGGTCATCCATGATTAAACTGCAGGACAGGGAAGGTTGGGGGTGGGATGAGTGTGGAAAACAGGCTGTGTGCCCCCATTTTCCTCCTGCAATGGTCAGAGCACCTTTCCTGCAGAAGTAGCAGCAGACATCAGTGCAGGAGCAATGCGACTCAAAACTAACCCTGTAGATCAAGGTGAGCCCAAGGGTGGCTCATAAACCAATTACTGGGTTAAGCAGGTAATGCCAGCGGCCAGTGCACAGATTTATCATCACTTCTGCAGTTCTGAAGCACTGGGAGAGGGGAAGTTTTTCCCTTCCTCACCTTGAGGGTGCAATGAGGGTCGTTGTGATCAGGAGCTCTCCTCCTCTGGTCTCTCATCTTTCCTGCACTTTTCAGGACACACACACGCACACACACACACAATTCCCTTCCTCCTGTTCGTTGTGCTGTTACTGAATTTGGGACACTGGTCCCCTGGGAACAGAGCTAGTTTCTAAGCTCTAATAGGCTCCCTGTTGTCACCATTTGGGACATCTCAGCAGCAGAAATGGGAAGTGACCTTAAGCAAGGAAGAAGGAAACTGCACAGTTTAACCAGGGCAGCTGTGCCTCTGCTGTGTCACTCTGGTTGTGGAAGGAGATGTTGTCTAGAGCTCCAGACATCATCTAGAGCTGATGCAGACCCCAGTGGGATTAATGGAAGGACCCTCATGGGCTGCACAGGGGCATTGCTGTGTTGTGAACGAGAATCTCCACGGAGGTCCCTTCCCATGGTGACAGATCACATCGTGTACGATCGCACAGTGTGACATGAGTTGTGTTTTCTGAAGTTTACCCAGAGAAGAGCCCTATTTTCATTTTTGGGCACATCCTTGGGAGAAAGCAAACTCTTCACAGGGTGGTTTGAGCTGCAGGCAAAGGAGTTCAGCTCTGCAGGGCCTTTGCCCTGGGCTTTTCCATGGCAGAGTTGAGCTGCTGCACCTGGCAGTGGTGGGCCGGAGCTTTATTGCAAGCAAATTTTTGGCGTAGGTTAAATATTCAACAAAGAGCTTGAGCTCTGCTTGCTTTGGCAAACAAGTACATCCCCAAATGAATCAAACAAGTTGTAATGCAGAACAAATTGGAGTAGTAGAGGATTTGTCTCAGACGCTTAAAATCATATTTTATCCCCTGCCTTTATATTACCATCTATTCAAGCAAAAAAGCATGTTTTGAAATACTGATGGGAAAAAAAAGCTGAGCACGTGTTGTTTATTCCTTCAGTGCTGTGGTACAGCCTTGTATTTCTGTCTTGTGCTCTTTTCTGACCTTGGAGCAACCCAAAAGATAGCTGGCTAATGGACTGTACTCAACTGCTGTATATTTTACACCCAAAGATTTGCAAAAATTGTTCTAAATTAAACAGGGTACAAAGTTTTTCTAATTTCAAGCACAGAGAATTCATTTTCAATTCCTCTATCAAAGCAAAATGACAAATACAAAATGCAAGTGAAACCAGATGGACTAACTATATTAGGAGCTCTGCATGCATATTTTGTGTCACTTATTAGCATTCATTAAGTCAAACACGGGGAGAAATAAGCTTTGCCTACATGTATTAAACCAATAAGGCTGGCAAGGATCCAAGCCTGCTCTAGTGGATTAATTGTTTTATAACTGCTTTAATTAAAATTGTTCAGTATATGATTAACCTAAAAGTTTTAATTTCCACAAAATTGTTGAACAAATGAGACATTAATATTTTACATTAACTGTGGAGAGTGTGCTGTGGTTCCCTGAGCAGCTCACTGTAAACCTGAGGTGAGGGGCCTTGTGGAAGGAGTGGAGGGATTGGCCCCAGGTGCCCCTCTTGCTGTGAGAGGCTCATCATCGAGCAGTGTGTTCTGGAAGGTTCTGTGCCTCCCTCCACTGTGATGACAGGGGAGCATGGAACATTCTCTGCTTCCGTTGACAGCTTCCACTGGGGCTGGTGCCATGGATCGTCCCACAGGGAGGGTGGCAGTGCAGCAGTGAGGCAGGAATGAGGGGCCTCTCCTGCCTTGGCTGTTCTGGAGAAGCTCATGGGCTTTACCAGCCTGGATCCACCCACACTTGGAGAGCTGCCCCTGCACCAGGGATGGACAGCAAAGAGGTGATGGACACAGCGAAGAGGTGATGGACACAGTGATGGACAGAGCCAAGAAGTGGTGGCTGCAGAGCAAGGAGGTACCAGAGGTGTGGGCACCATTGCTGTGCTGGTTACCCTGTTATCAGGATCATCTGCAGCCTCTCTCCCCTCTTCTCTAATCAGGGGTGCTGCTTGGTTGCTGTAGACTGCTAATTATGAGTTTTTGCCCCTTTTTAATCACCCAGTTTGTCTTGCAGGCTGACTGGGGTTTTAAGAGGTATTCCAGCAAAATGGGCATGAAATGCCACAAGAGAAATGGAGGTTTTGGGCCAGCTACTGTGAGCACCCCCTAAAGCTGTGCCAAGCCCAGGTGACCTCCTCATGGTGTGCACTCTGTGGTGGCTCTTCTGCAAATACAGAAGCTGTTAAACCTCCAAAGTGCCAAACTCCTGTTGGGACAGAGCACTTGGAGCTGTTGGGTTTAGGCAGAAGAAAAGCTGTGCTGGAGTCTGATGGGGGTCAGGTCAGCTCCACCAACCAGGAGGTTTTTGGAAATACAAGAAGTCACAGTTTTCCTCGTCTTATCAGGAAATCTGAACCTTCCATGTTTATGTTGTGTGATGCCTTTCTGGGGTGTTACCTTAGCAGAGAAGGGGGGCAAGTGGTGCAAGGGGCCATGTGTTGTGGTGTTGGGATGTGCTGGGGAGATCTGCAGCTCACTCTGCCCAGGCCTCACCTCCTCCTGCTTGTTTCATCTGGCAGTGTGAGGTGGCTTCAGGGTGTGGATGTGCTGCCATCCTGATGGCTCACCAGTTCTGCTGGCACTGGAAGTGTTTTGACACGTGACATTGCAGGCAGACTGCAGAGCTGGGCTGCACCTTGGTGTCCACCTTCTAAAAACCAGCCACGCCATGATCTGAGCTCGTGGCCCTGTTAGAGCTCATCACCAAAGTGTCACTGCCTTGAGTGGGACTGAGAGTTCATCTCTAAATTCACTTCCTTAGGGGCCCCTTTTGAGGTGGCTGCGGTGCTTACAGCATGGGCAGCACGGTGTCAGCCCCCAGTCTGTGGGACTTCTTGGGGGAACAGGCTCCTCTCCTGTGGGTTCTTGGTGGTAGCTCATGTCTTTTACTGGTGATCCTTTATGAACTGGCACTGGGAAAAGCAGTCTTTATGCTGATGGCCTCCGTGGCCCCACAGTATGCCAGAAAGTAGACTTAAGTGAAGTCCTGGCTATGCAGGGTTCAGAACTTCAGCTGATGTTGCTGGAAATATTGTGCACAGCCATGAGATCTCCTGCTGTTGGGTCCTCTTAGAAGTATTTCTGTTGAAATGTAGTTGCCTCCAGTTCAACAGTATTATCTGGGTGTGCCATAAAGTATTCTGCTTTCTGATTCTCCTCGAGCCTCTGTAGGCTTTCCAAAGTGGAGCATGCAGAATGTCTGCCATTGCTTTGGAACATGGGAATTTCTCCTGGTGGGAGGGCGGCTGCAGAGGGCTGGCTCTGTTCCCCTTCTGCACCTACTCCTGACAGTGCTGTTAAAGCTTCATATAGCTTAGAGTGACCAAGATCTGGGGTAAATTGAGCAGCTGGCCACAGTTTGCTAGGTCAGAGAGGGCAAGGAAATCCTCCTAGTGTTGGTAATGAATTTATAAATGCTGCTTATGTCTAGATTAGGTGGAGCTTGGGCAGAATCGTCGCTGTTCATTTGTATTTCAGTTTTAGGATATTTGGATAAGCTTGCAACATCGAGGAAACAAAAAATGGAGGGGTTTTAAAGAAAGTCTGTGAGGGTTATCTAACTCAAACAGGGAGAGATTTTGATTCCTGTAGGCTTCCTGGAAAAACATACGGAGGGTGTGTACACACACACATGCACACACAGAAACATATGTGCTCTGTGCCACTCTGTGTAAATACAGCAGCTTCCCTTTCTGTCACATCCAAGGAAAGATTTTGTATTGCTGAATCAAGTCATACAAAATTATAGGGATAATGACCAGAGTTTTCCATGGCAGTGCCTGGAGGTGTCTGTTGTTCCCTGCTGCTGTACATACCAGGCACTGCTGGAAATCAGGCACAGCTCTCACTCGCTAAAGCCTGAGATTAGTGCCTTTGGGCCCTGGATCAATCTGGAAAAGTCGATCTGAGAAACTAGCTCTGAGGTATTTGCATGTAAAAATGTTCCAGTAATCGACCTTTCAGGGTGCACATGGGGGATTCGAGGACATTTGCCAGCCCCGCAGAGCTCAGCTCTGCTTTCCTGCCTTGTCTCTGGGGGAGATGAGGACACAACTCCTGGTGAGGTGTCCTAGTTCCTAAATCCTCGTGTAAGGCTGCTGTGGAGCTCTGCCTCTGTTCTGGGCTCTGGAAAACACCTAGCAGCAGCCTCAGGCTGGGTGTGCTGTACCAGTGGTGCCAACCTTGGGAACCAGGCAGGGCTTCTCTGCCTTCGAAGGGTGAAAATCACTGGCCTGTAGCCCCACCTTGTCACAGAAACAGCCAAAGCAAAAACGTGGAGGTATGAGAAGTGCTGAGTTCTGGCAGGGTGAGCTCTGAATGCACCAGTCCACTTGTAAGGGGTGAAGCCAGTGTGGGAGATCCTGGGCAAATCCCTGGGAAGTGCAGCATTAGCCACGAGGCAGGTTGGCCTTAAAGCATTGTCAGGGGCTGTTCCCTTGGGGAACAACACGTGTGTTGTGCTCCTGCAGTGTGTTAGCTGTGAGTGCAAACAAGTGCTGCTCCACTGTCCGGAGAGGAGGAGGAGAGCCAGTTTCTCTGGGGACGTTCACTGGGATTCCTTCGGTTGCTAACTTGGATGCTGGTTAGTGCTGAAGGGATTTACTCTGCTCTCAAGGCTAAAAGGCACTGCGGCATTTCTGGTTCAAAATGTTGCCCAGCTTGCAGAGCTGCCCAGAGGCCACTCACTTATCTGGGGGTGCTGGGGCAGCTTTGCAGCTCAACTGGTGGGTGTGGTGGGTTTGTGCCTTCCCTGTGAATCGGGGGGGGGGGTTGTGGTTTCAATGCCCCTCTGATATTAAACCCAGTGACTGTAAACAAGTGAGGCAGGGCTGATGAAAGCTGCAGTTGGGATTCCTGGAGATGTGAAGTGGCTGGAGTGTCTGTCCCTGCCTTGGAGACCAGTGGAATGCTGCCACACTCCCTCCCTCCCTCCCTCCCTCCACCACTGCCAACCTTCCCGTGCAGAATCTGTCCAACAGCTCCCAACGCACTCGAGGATTTGTGGAATCCTCAAGATGATGAAAAGCAAATAAGAGGAGTATCAGAGCATTGTCTTCTATACAGCAAGAGATATTGAAGTGCCTCTGTGGAGATTCTCAACCTGCCTTTCACGCACAAGGGCTGTGCCTGTGCTCTTTTCCTGCTGTGCCCTTTCCCTTGTGTTGCTGTGCAGAGGTAACTGCAGTCTGTGGTGAGGAAGATGCAAACCCAGTGCATCTCAGCAAGTTGTTGTGGTTTGCTGTTGGGTTTTTTTTTTTAAAGCATCTCTTCAGATTTGAGGCCAACACTTCTCATTAATGCACAACTTAACCTCTGCTGCTCCCCTCTGAAATAGCAGTCTGTCTGTGCAGAGAGCTGAAGTGGACTCTCCAGGCTGTACTTCATGGTATCCTGGGGGGGGTTAGCACAGCACAGGCTTCCTGACTGTAGGTGAGTTTGGTTGTGCAGGGAGTTAAACCAGCTGCTCTGGAGAGCTTTATTTCGTAGGAAATGCCTGATGGTGTTGGATGAAACCTGCCAGGGAATTGTCCCATGGCTTGGCTGTTTGTGTGAGGGTACTGGAAGTTGGATCAGGGGCAGAGCCCTGGGAGAGTTTGGTGTTAAATGCTGGAGATACTTGTGGTGTTTGTGGTTGATCTCCCCTGGCAGCAGTGCCCAGCAGAGCACAGCCACCACGAGGAGGTGGCCTGGTGAGCTGCACAGGTCATGCCACACTCAGGTGTCCTTTGGGAAATACATTCCAGCAGATCCTCCTGCTGGTTCACCAAATCCTTCTGTAGGAACCAGGGGGAGAAAAGGAGCATTGTTTTTCTTTGTAGGATTCATTTTTGGACCTATTGAATGACTGCACTGATGAACCATCTAAGCAAGGAAAATTTCAAGAGATAAAGACCTTCTGGTTTCTTCCCTTTAACTCTACATACTTACACATCATCTATTCCCCTCCCAGATTTACTGGGAAGTCCAGGTGGAATGATGAGTATGCCAGTTTATTGAGAATTCTCCTTCCTGATGGCTGTGGTTTGTATTTTGTTTTTCATGTAGTACCCCCAGCTAATTCATTGGTAACCATCACTTGAAGATTGTTGACATTATCCTCTGACAAAATATAATGTGTGGTTAATCCTATTTCCTGCAATCAATATGGTAATAGTAATTAAGTATCTGAATTATGAAATACTTATGTTGTTTATTTTTGAAATCACACAAACTTCCTGCAATTAGATACATAAAGCTAAATTATTTAATATCAGGAATTGAACCAAGTCATCTGCACACTGAAAAGCCTTGTTTCTATCAAGACAGAAGTACTTGGGTTTATAGTAGTTGTGTTTTATGTGAGTTTTTATGAATTGTTACATTTCCCAGTGATTTTTCAGGTAATCTTTCAACATCAAGGGTTTAGAATTACTCCATGCCAGCTCTTCCATTTGTGGAGTTAGAATCCAGGCCATCCACAAAAATGGGCTGTACATCCATTCAAAACCCTCTTTCCAGGGATGCTGTACTTTCTACCCTGGTTGGTGTTTTTGGTTCTTGAGTTCTTGCTTTTCTTTATTCAGCCCAAGCTCTGTTATTCAGTTCATTTTGTTCCTGACAGGTTTTCATTTCCTTTATAAATATATAGCATTTTCGTTGGCCTCTTGGCTGTGAAAAGGATTTAATACATTGCTTTCTCCACACTTGCTTTTTTTTTTGTTACTATCAAAGGCTATTCTTTCTTTTCCCCGTCCCTTGAATAATCACTGAAGACAGTAAGGGAGCCTTCCTCCAGAGCTGC